CTAATTTTTTCACAACAATTATTTTGCAATCTGTATAGACGAGAGAAATAATTTGAATTAATATTCATATCGCGCTAAATTTATTTATGTCATCATTGAATTACATCGATTATCTATTATCATGCACTCTTGATCCGTGCAACAAGAAGTAATTTTATTACGTCGATTAACAATTGGTGTTTCTTTTTTCTCTATAAAGTTAACAGGTTGTAGATAGATAATGCGTTACTCTATACATTGTAATTCTTTCATTCTTCTTACGAAGATATTTGTACAAAGAACGAAAGAGAAGAGAGAGAGATTTGTACAAAATTAAATTCTTATATTATGAAAAAAAAATAGTAGTAATTCTTATATTATTAAAAAAATAATTATTATTATTAATATAATTTTTTTAATTATTTTGATTTTTAAATTTTAAAAATACATTTTTATAAATTTTTAGTATAATTAAGGACAAAAAAATAAAAGTAACGTTGTAACGAATATATAATAATAAAAAAATCAATTAAAAGATATCACAAAATGTAAGTTATCAAATTTCCTCGAAACATCGAATTCAAATTCCATTCTGAGTAGCATATTTTAATGATACGTACATACGATAAGATATTTACGTACCTGATTGCCGAAGACACCGATGCTACAGGCACTACTAACTTGATCAGGCCCAAACCAAACAGCGGCCAATCGGGCTGGAACTGACAGAACGAAGATTTGACTTACTGCCACCACAGTTTGTCCGAGAAACGTGATCCAGAAGCGATCGGTAGCGATGCTGAATACCTTTATCCAGGAACCGAGAGCGTTTCCGAGCGCCCCGAAGATCACTGCGTATCTGAGGCCCTAAAATCCCATCCCCATCCCCGGTAATTTAGATGTTAGTAAGAGGGAATCTGCTGATACTATGCGGAATGAAATTTGCTCGATCAGTATCAACGATTACTTGAAAAGCTATCCTGTTGATGTCGCGATTGTATCCAAACTCGTTTATTCGAACGTAAAATTGTTTATTCTAAATGGGAGGGAATGTCATCGTTCGATGAGGAGATAAGGTGCTACACATATACTACAAGTTCTTAATAAATTATGCAAACTTTATGTTTCCATGATTCGCTATTGTACCTAGAAAAATCAGACGAATCAGGAAGTTCAATTTTTTGAAATTTATTGCCGCTTTTTAATAATTTAACAATCAACTAGGTAAGAAGAAAAATGATTTGTAAAGAAAAGATTGTACGATAATTTCTAAACATAGTATATAAGTATCCGATATTGTTCTACTCTATCTAATAAAATTATTACTTACGAATTTATCGAGCAGATAACTGGCGGGAAATATCAATGGTATATATGTTATCATATATGTCATGCTTGTCATGTCTATCAGAAAACTCGAGACATTGTAATAGCGCATTACAATGTTCGCTATAATACTATATTGTACCCAGTGCATAGAGTTGCTCGCGCTATATAATACGAAGAGAACAAGCATCAGCCATCTTTTCTTGTAAATTTTAATCTCCAGATCCTGTAATTAATGACATCCATTCTCGATTTTTTTATATAATACACTGATTATCTAAATATTGTTACGTAAAATTTAGCGGCGTTATGAGCCTCTTGTTAACAAAAGATCAAAAATTATGAAGATATAATCATAGCTCATTATGTATTATTATATATCAAAAACAATATTAAATTAGGTATGTTGTTTTTTTGTACATATTATTATAGATAAAAATGACATTGAAGCATTTTTCAGACAGTTTCATTTAAGGAAATGCAGGATTATATAGAATTTTCTTCTCTATAGAATCTTGTGATATTTTCTCGAAAAAAATTCACTTCTTTTTTAAAAATATGATCTTGAAAAGAATATAACAGAAATTTAAAAGAAAAATTTTAATTGCATGTACCACATAAGTTAAAATTTAATAATCTAAGATTTAAATAATTAATAGCTCACTGAAATAAAAGCTAAGTATATCACGTCAACTCGAAGCGAAGACTCTTTCATTAATTTTCCTTTTTTCTTTGTTTGTTTTCAATTTTCTTTGTTTGTTCTAAATTGTCTTTGTTTGCTCGAATTTATTCGATAACAGAATTATTCACCTGTGTCGGTTGCGTACCATCTTCAATGGTCTTTATATAATCGCCAGAAGCTTTTCCCAGTTTTTGAGATACTTGCTTTCGTTCCGACTCCATGATAGAATAAAAACTGAAACTTTTATTTTTTTATGTTATCGATATAAAAGTAATTTTAATGAATTGTTGAGATTTTTGCGATTAAAATGGTATCAAACATGACGTAAATCGGATAATTTTTAATTAGTCTGATAACAGAAATTTTGATTATATATATTTAATTATCCATTTATCCGATTGACCGTGTTTGATATTATTTTAAAAATTTTGCAAAATTTTCATTATTCCATTAAAATTACTCGCTTATCCTTATAAATATATCTTAAAATTATAAACTTATTTATTTATCACAATTTGTCGCTTGCCAATCGGCCGCTTGCCAGCGACAGACTTGGTAACGAGATGAACATGACAGAATATATAAGTACGTATGAGCGAGTGAAACAATAAGAAGAGAGCGAGATAGTAATAGGAGCGAGAGAGAAATAGTATGCCAGGCTGCAAGAATGACTCGAGTCTTCGTTGCTCGTTCTATTCCTATCTCGCTCGCTCTTACTGCCATTTCGCTCTCTCTTATTACCTTCTCGCTTGCTCACGACGCTCAGGGTGCCATTACATGAAGCGCGGGACGCGGAAACGCGGAAAAGCGGAAAAGAATTGTAACTAGATTTATACTAGATTCTCGCGTTTTCCGCGTTTCATTCCGTCTGTTTTGATTGCCTTATATTACATGGAGCATATTTTGAACGGAAAAGCGGAACGGAGAATTATAAAATATTAATTTTTAACGGTATTTGTTGATTAAAATACTCATATTCATTAGACAAGCTGATAAGGTAAGCATATTAATAAAAATTGCAATGAATTAAGTATACATAATTTTTAAAAATAAATATAAATACCTATTTGTCACTATATCGTTCCGCTTTTCCGCGTAATTGTCCTCCATGTAATATAAGGACAAACAAATTCGCAGAACGAGCGCGAAAATCTGTTGTCAAAATCTGTTGTCAACGCGAATATTCATTCCTTCGCGGAGTGTATTCTGAAGTGTCATTAAATTTCGGAACCGGAATAATAAAGAAAATTGTTAATTCTTCTATTATATTTTAAAATAAGTGGCTGTATATAATGGATCCAAATATCATGCTAATAATTATTATGAAGTATCTTATGCAAGCAAGAGATGAACCATTGAGATATGCTGAGATAACTATAAAAAAAGTTATTTCATTGTTTTATTTGTATTTGCGTTACAAAAAATTGGGAGAACGCAAAAATGATCGTAAAATATGGGTACGGCCTATTTTTACTTAGAGAAGAAGACTTCTGCAAGGTGCCAGCGACAATTTACTTGTGGAGATGCGATTGACAGATCCGGAAAAATACTTCAACTACCTTAGAATGTCACCAACAACCTTCAATGAATTACTTAATATTGTTGGACCACTAATTGAAAAACAAAATGTAGTTCGAAAATCAATACCGGCCAGAACGAGATTAGAAGTGACTGTACGATGGTTGGCATCTGGCGACAGCATGACATCGTTATCATATGCTTATCGTATTGCCCAATGTACGCTATTACAAATTATTCCGGAAACTTGTCAAGCAATTTGGCTTTCCTTAAAAGAAAAAGTTATGATTGATCCAACTGAAGAAAATTGAAGTATGATTGCAGGCGATTTTGAGACAACATGCCAATTTATCAATTGTATAGGCGCTATCGATGGGAAGCATGTCGTTATTCAGGTATGTATATTAGGAATTTATTATATATTATTTATTAAATTTATTATATATATATTTGGAATGAAAATGTGTTTATTACAATGATAGTTTCCAATTTCAGGCACCGCCTCGTAGTGGTTCATGCTATTACAACTATAAAGGAAATCATAGCATAAACCTGCTCGCAATAAGTGATGTCAAGAACCGCTTCACTATTGTTGATATTGGAGCTGAAGGAAGGCACAGCGACGGAGGTGTTTTTGATAGTAGCGGATTACCGCATTTACTTGAGACGAATGCTCTCCATATTCCTCCACCTAGGCGTCTAAATAATATGGATTTTGATTTTCCGTACGTTTTATTGGGAGATGAGGCCTTTCCTCTAAGCACATATATGATGCGACCATATCCTCGGAGTCGACGGCTGAATATCAGCAGAAAAATTTTTAACTATCGCCTGAGTCGAGCAAGAAAAACAGTTGAATGTGCTTTCGGGATTTTGGTTGCAAGATGGAGAATATATCGTCAACCTATTGTTGCACGCACATCTACTGCCGTAAAAGCTGTACAAGCAACGGTTATTTTGCATAATTTTATTATTAATAAAGAACTGGACTTACCATTTCCAGAAAGAAGATACTGTAATATACAAGAAGAAGAGCGCATTCTCTTGGCTACAAGTAATGGACTTACAGCTGTAAGTTACAGAAATGCTTCGCAAAAATCTGCAGCAGTGAAAATTCGAGATAACTTTGCACATTATTTCGAGCATGTCAATCCTCTATCGTGGCAGTGGGACAAAGTTTTAACTAACAACTTTTGAAACATCATGTAATTTTAACGCACTTGTCAATAATTTTGTAAAAGTATTTTTTTAAAGTATATAATTCGAAAGTTTTTTACGACACAACATTCGTACGTAGTCTTTTTATATATTTTCAAAGTTTAATAATACAGAGTACTTCGTACAACAATATAATGAACTGAATGCAAAAATATATTTTATTCTTTATAATAACACAAATATATTTTATTCTTTATAATAAACAAAATGAAAAATTTATATTTAAAATAAAATTGATAATATTAAACTTAATACTTATAATATTTAAAATAAAATTTATAATAAAAAAGAACATTTCTATTACATCTTATCATTCCCTTTCTCCAGAAATTCGGCATCCTCCTCTTCTATAGCAATATTCATAAGTCTTCTTTGCAGGTTTCTACGTCGTACGTATGATAGTCGGCGTAGAATGTCACCAAGTTGGTCCATAAAACTATCGACTATATCATGTTTCTTCTGAGATACCTCATCAATTATACTTAAAAACTTATCCTCGATTTCTGCTTGCCTTTGCGCATCTGTAATATATGCGTATATATGGTAAGTACCTAAAAAACACAAAACCAAAAAAACAATTGCCACTTACTTTTCCTTTTCACCCCTGGCGATAAACATGACGATTTTCGTGATGATTCTGATGGTGAACATGCAGAATTCTGTGTAGAATCATCAAAATCGATCAAGTTGTCTGCAGTCATGTCCACTTGCATATTATCCATGTCAACATGGGATGAATTCGCTTCAGAAATGTGCTGGATGGAGCTGACAGTCCTGAAATCAAAATGATTTTACAAATTATTAAATCCAATTGCACACAATTTGAATATTTATAAAATCTCAGTTATAAAAAACAATGCAAATACTTACGGTGCTGTCTTTATTGTATCGTCGAGAAATCTCATTTCTTCGTAATGAGCAAAAGAACTTCGTAATGGATGGCCAGATTCCACCCCTGATCCACTTCGCACGTATCCTCGCATTTTCTTTCTAGCCTTCATATACGAATCTCGAAGGTGTTTCCATCTCTGCTTTATTGCTTCCATAGACAGGAATCCTATGATTGTATAAAGAATCGTTTATTATTTACTTTTATACACAGATAATATAATTCATACAAGTAATTAAAAAATGATCTTACCATCAAATGCGTTTACAATCTCTTGCCATAAACTATCTTTTTTTAATCTTGTTCTTTCGCTGGTCGGAAGGGAATGGTCCCACAAACCCCTTCGGATACGAACAAATTCAATCAGCAACTCATCTTGTGTGAGTATAGACTGTGTAGATTGTACAGCTCCTTCTTTCGAATGCTGTACATCTTCAGTTTCATGTCTCTTTCCTTTAAAATAAATAAGTAAACAATGACTTACCGAAAATGTTTACCGTAACAGACAAAATTTATAACGGATAATAAAACCTTTCTCAAGAACTACACAAATAAATAAATATGATAACTTACTCATAGTGACCACGGCATTTTCGTCAACATTAATGACGTGGGCATTTTCGTCGTATGTACTGAAGCAATGGTGGTCTAAAATTGTTCCACATGACCCTCGTAAAATAAACCCGCAATAGCCACATTTCGTTGCCTGCGAACAAATATACAATTATTTAATTATCTTTATTTTACATAAAGTGAGGTTATGACAATGTTATAATCACTTTAATTCTGTTCAATTTGATTACGGCTGTTGGGTATGCCGAAATTAAGCACTGGAAATCTATATGTCACGTATATTGTAGATTTTCAATACTGGCAGTTTCGGAAAGCAGCCTGTGCTTTCTTATGTCTAAAAAAATAACAGAGCTATCACGTTTATTGAGTATTAAATATTATCTAAATACTTACAGGGCGATTCATTTGAAATTCTTTTTCTTTCTGTACTTTTGTAAGTAGCTCATGTTCCACGTGCACATAATGAAATAGCGGATTCCGCTTTTCCGCTCAAACGTGCGGGACTCAACTCGCGGAAGCGCGAAAATCTAGTAAATCTAGTTACAATTCTTTTCCGCCTTTCCGTGTTTCCGCGTTCCGCGCTTCATGTAATGGCACCCTCACACTCCCGCGTACACTATGGCCGGTATTCATAGTCCGATCTTATATCTGAGATCGTCTTAAGTTCGAGCTTGAAATGCTACGCAGCTATTTGATTGGTTGAATGAGGTCTTAAGTCAACCTCCAAGCAGACTTAAGACGATCTTAAATATAAGATCGGACTATGAATACCGGCCTATATATATATATATATATATATATATATATATTCCGTGCTATGCACGAAATATCCCATAGACCTTATAAGTATGGACTGGCAATACGTATCAGACTGTGTCCGGAGGAGGTTAGAGAGAGAAACATACTTTTTGGTACTTCTCTTTCTACAAGTGCAATGCATACTTTCGGACACTTGTAGAAAGAGAAGTACTAAAAAGTATGTTTCTCTCTCTAACCTCCTCCGGACATTGCTTCTCTACAGAAACTATAGGCAATTGCCAGTCCATATCTGTAAGGTCTATGAAATATCCGGAACACGAATTCTGTAACGTAAGGTGTTTTGCAATTAAACATTTTATAATTAATTTTTATAATTATCTTTATAATTATCCAATGTTTCCAATAAAAATAAATAAAAATTAAAAAAAATATAAATAACTAATTCTACTTGCGCTTTCCCACATTATTATTATTTTTTTTAAATCGATTGTTAAGAGAGAAAGAGAGAGAAAGAAAGAGAGAGAAAGAGAGAGGTCATATAAAACTTATTAAAAATTTATTCATTATACATAAGCGTCTTGCTATACAGCACTGGTGCTACCGCCATTTTGTTCACATAGCACGGAACAGAACCAAAAATTGTGCAACTTATACGTTACCCTCCGAGAACATTCGTGCACTTTGGCTTCGTAATTTAGGTGCATGTTTTTATGGTCACAGAGAGCGTAGGAGGTCGCTTTCAAGGATCACTTAAAAGCGGGCCGTGATATCTCTCATTCTTCTCTCTGATATAATGTACAAAAATTTCAATTTAAATTTAAAGAATATTAAAATTTTAATTTTCGATCGATAGGCTACGAAATATTTAAATATTTGAAATACACATAAACATACGTTCGTCTAATTTCCTTATTATTACGAAATTGATCACGAATATTCGAAATATCTTTTTCGATTGCTTTTTCCAGATGAATGATTCACGATCGCCTCTTCATCGCGTTATCCGCCATGAATGTCTCTTGGCGCGTCATGTACTATATTACATCGGTCTATCATGTCTCATCACGAGCCGATAATGTTCATAACAGGAGAGCTATTCGCGCTGTCACGGAACATCAGATGTTCTTTAGGATGAAGAAACTCAGAATACATCCGTAACAAATACATTTATTTTTTGAATTTCAGTTTTTGTTATTTGCAATTTCATATTCAAATGTGAATTTACGTCATAATCCACTTTTTATATTTGCAACAACATAAAAAGAAGTAAACTTTTACGACATAAAAGAAATAATTTTGAAATAAACAGGAAAAGAAACATCAGTCATGTTACCATATTTCAATCAATGTAAAATACGATAGGACTTTTCATCTCACCATACATTACACATATATCACATTATTGAAGATGTGATATTTAAAAAAAATGTAAGATAGAAGTTTTCTTAAATAAAAAATTATTAATATAATATTTATGTTTTTTAATCTCTAGTTGAATACAAACATCTAACTATAAATTAGTCTCTATAAATTATACGCTTCGATATTATAAAATAAATATATTAAATATTTTTATTATATAAGAGATTTATATATATTATTTTATATTGATACTTAATAATGTGTGTGTAAATTTTTATTATATCAATATTAAAACAACAGATTCGTACTTTTTAAGATATATATATATTACATAAATTGATATTTCTCTTTTATAATATGTACAGAATCTCTTTCATAACATATTGATCAATATATAAATATAATCTTTCATAGGATATGAACGATGTATAAAATGTAAAAAAACAGGTCATTGTTTTAACATTTTATTTACAAAATAGAACCATCTTATGGAAACAATAAATGGCTTAAAAAATATAATGAAGGAATATCGCTTGGAAGACAACTTATTTGTCGGTTTAAAGGCGAATATTAAAATATGTCTTAGAATAGTTTAAAAAAGATATTAATATCGATCGATTTGCAAAATATAAAACGCTATTTGTTTGTATATATCTTAATTAAATATCATATATTTCATATATAAATAAAAATCTAACATTATGAAACCTAAATGCGCTCCTACTTACATTTTTACTTCTAGAGAAATTAAATTAATGTCACACAAACGATCATAGAAGTTTTAAAATGCAATTTTATATTCGCAGTATGCTCTTATCGCTAAATATGACACGACTTCCTTTTTAAGAAATATTTTATATTTGAGTGAATATATTGTCACACACAGGACACTGCTAAGTTTGTCCGAGCTAATTTGTAAAAATATATATTCTAATAAAATGTTTGACCTTCAACGATTCTCGCATTAAGAAAATAACGTATATTTATATTTTACTAAATGATTTTTTATCACAAGATAAACAAGCAATGGAATTACAAAATGGAATTCGACGTAACAACGTAACGATTCAAACGCTTAATAGATACAAGAAAAAAATATTTAAATCATGACAAGAAAGTTACATTTCATATATGTATATCGCAATAAATTATGATTTTATATAGGATTAATACTCTCTCTCTTTCATAAATAGCTATACATTTTAACAAAATGCTCATCTTTCAAAATAAGGAAATAATTTACGGTTTTGTACTGTGTTAGAGTTATATAATCTATAAATAACTATACATTTTAAAAAAACGCTCGTCTTTCGACATAGGAAAATAATTTACACTAAATACTTCTTTATCACAAAACGTGCAATTAAAATTGTAGTTTCAAATAAATAGTATTTCGAACTAAATACTACTACCAGATAGAATAAATCCAAAAAATACATAGTTATACATTGCGACAATAAAATAATATATCGTATTCATTGCAAAGGACTATAATCGCTATTATCGTTTTAATGCAATAATTATTAGTGGACCTTAATCCATAATAATTCCACGAGATAATAAAGATGAAATCTGTATTTGTTGCTGTTATATTACGCTCATTTCTATTTATATTATTAAAATAACATTTATATATTAAAATAATATTTATTATCGCAATAACTTGGACTGTCATTATTATTAGGCTTATTATTTTTAACTATTTCATCTATATCGTTCATACAGTATCTATCTGCAACAAATATTTGCGCGACTAAAAATTTGTACAGATTCACAATTAGGCATTTCCTAAATTACAGTTATGCAACAAAAAATTCGTTTCAATATATTTTAATTCAGATTAAGGAATTTATTTTTTGTGTTCTGATTATATATCAATATTATTCATCGATATTAAATAGAAAGACACGTGAAAATGTAAAAAAATAAAGAGATTTAAATTGATTAAAATTGATTGTTACAAATATATGAAAATTTAATTTTATAACACAAATTTTTAAAACTTTTCTCTTCAGGCTTTCATAATTAATAACTAACCTAACTCATGATGAAATTAATTCGCTAGTTTTTGACATAATTAATTAATTGTTGCATAACATTATCTAAAACTACAGCTTACCTGAGATAAAGAAGGCTAACTAACAGGATCCAAAGAAGTTTTCTAATGATTTTTCATTGTCATTTATATGTTCAAGAGAACATTTTGTATTTCCATTATATCTAAAAATATGTAACGTGGAGACAAAAATATATATATATATTTTTTTTCTTTGACATATTTTTTTTCATTGATATATATATTTTTTTTTCTTTGACTCTTCAACAAATCTGGCTATTAAATCTTTTCACATAAAATTGGACCATTATTTCTAAAGACATCTTTCTAACACATTCTTCTAGATATTCCTAATTTTCAAGTTTTCTAGTACTTAGATAATAAGCAGCAAGTCTTGAAAAATAAACATCTGAGAATCTTACGAAAAATAACAATATTTTTCTTATCGTAGTATGCAACTAGTCTTTTTTAGAATTCCTAGTTTCGGGGAAGATATATTTTCCCTCGTTAGGTACGCGTGACTCAGAGAAACGGCGCTACTCTTGGCGCATATAGTATGTACTCATGTGAGGAATAAATTAAGTCCCAAATGGACTATAACGACGTGTTGCGGGGAAAATTGTCGAGGCGGAAATCGCTCGTACCAAGCTATTCATCGCTGATTGTTACATTTGACTGCTATTTGGATTATCAAACCTTCGCGTTCTGGCGTCTCAGATCGTTGGGTATTATGATCGTGAGCAAGATGCCAATTCCAAGTGCGATGCACATCGCAATATTTGCCCATAAATCGCCCCATTTTCCAAGCAAAAAACCGTAGAGCATCGTGAAGATGATGCCGAAGACTTGCACCACCGCGTTCAACAGACCCGCTGCCGTTCCTTCCGGTTCCGGATATGTAAGCTCAGCAGCGAACTCAAAACCGACCGGTAGATAACCGGTAATGAAGAAGCTAGAAACAGATTTTAAAAAATTCTAAGTTAAAGACGACGGTTATCTATCGAATGCGCGAATTTTTAAGGAAGAAACAATGGATTTTAATAAGAAAATTTTAATTTTAATAAAAGATCAAAATGTAACACCAAAAGAGTTAAATTGGGGAGTCAATGTTTACTAGAAGTTAAAAAAATAATCAAAGGATTGTTGGAAATAATAATCGACCAAACTAGCCAGAAATTTTATATTTATTGTTTACGACGTTGCGACCATTTGGTTGTGATCCTTTTCAAGTAAATACTGGAATATAACAATTAAACAATTAGATCTTTTAACGGTTTGAATAACGAATACACACATGTATTAAATGTGAACAATTAGAGTACATACGGATTAAATGACAGATATAAATCATAATGTTGTAAAATGCACAAGTCACATTTGCACGATCATTATATCTTAATAAATTTAAAATCAAGAGGTAAAAACAATGTATCGGCGTGAGACTTCGTCAACGAACTGAGTGTCAAATAAAAAATAACAAACTACACGACCTTTATTATTTTGTCGTAGATGTTGTTTAAATTATTCGTGTCTTTCTGTAGGTTGATTAAATTATTGAATTTTTTAATATAAAACATTTCAGCAATTTCTCTCTTTCGTACATATTCTTCATTGTGTAAAATATTAGGTGAATTTGACTGGTCGAAACCTAATATTTTACACAATGAAAAATATGTACGAAAGAGAGAAATTGCTGAAATGTTTTATATTAAAAAATTCAATAATTTAACCAACTTACAGAAAGACACGGATAGTTTAAATATCATCTACGACAAAATAATAAAGGTCGTTTGTTATTTTTTATTTGACACTCAGTTCGTTGACCATGTCTCACGCCGACACATTGTTTTTACCTCTCGATTTTAAATTTATTAAGATATAATGATCGTGCAAACATGACTTGTGCATTTTACAACACACACACATTATGATTTATATCTGCCATATGATCCGTATGTACTCTAATTGTTCACATTTAGTGCGTGTGTGTACTCGTTGTTCAAATCGTTAAAAGATCTAATTGTTTAATTGTTATATTTCAGTATTTACTTGAAAAGAATCACAACCATATGGTCGAAACGTCGTAAACAATAAACATAAAATTTCTAGTTTGGTCAATTATTATTTCCAACCTTTGATTAATTGACTAGCGATATTAAGATAACTTATATTATAAAAAAATAATGTTAAATATGTTACTAAGAATAAAATATTTCTTCTAAAAAGTTTTTGCGAATGATATAATAAATGTAATCTAAATTTTACCCCAAGATGCCGGCCGTGATGTAGATAACATATATCCCATTGTTATCCAGTGTAACAGTAAAGATTATCATTCCTATGAAACAGCATAGATAGACTGCTAGCGTAGTCTCCCTAAAAATTTACAGATTCTCCTTGTCTTTTTAATCTTTTAATAGAGTTTAATTCATATCATTCGATTAATAATCTATTTGATGAATTATTTGAAAAATATAAGATCTTATCTCTTGATAAGATAATTTTTATCATAAACTTAATTTACTGAGTTGAGAAAAAATCGAGGTAAATTGTTAAATTACAACAATTATCTATCGGTTACGCGCATGAAAAGGATAATGAATTTCTTTGAGATAGAACTGTTTAACAAAATCTGGCATCAAAGTATAAAGCGTTTTATAGCAAATCAAATTAAATTGAAATCAATGTTTATAAATTAAAAAACGCCTATCGTGAAAATCGTAATAATATTGCTATTGTTAAAATAATACTAATTTTGAATAAAATGATATATTGTTGAATAGTAACCATGACTCGCTCTCTTCGTAGAATCTGATTACTCACTTGAACTTGTGTGTTTTATCTAATATAACACCGCATATAACAGAGCTCAACATCCCGGTGCAAATTATCGTTAAGCCGATACGACCAACGTCCTCTTCATGTCCCTGAGAGGAATAAAAATAGCAAATTCTATCATTTTTCAGAGACTCAAAAAAAATTCACATAAAATTGAAATACATAATATTAATAATTTTAACAATTTTTGTATAAGATAGAATCCAAAAAAATCAAAGAAAACGAGAATTTGTAATTTTTTGGAGGAAAATACATACCGGGAAATATTTGAGAATAACTTGATTTAGCAGGGTGCTTATGGCGTAAAGGACGGCGATATTGATGCCATAGCTGACTAAAAGCAAAACATAACCGATATTGGTGAGCAGCTTTTTAATAGAACGTGAAAATGTCTCATTTCTGATGTTCTCCCTTTGCACAACTTGAGCAGAGCTAGGTGGAAAAGGCGGTGCCGACTTGAAAACTATAAATTATACTAGTTTCAATTAAGCGATAAAAGAAAATGTGATTTGACAATAAAATTTCGAAGCTGATTAAGGGGGTTAAACTTGACGAAATATATTATTTGCTCTGAAATATATCTTTCTGACGAAATATCATTTATAAAATATAATGTATGATATTTTGTAAGAAAATTATCTGTAGAAATATTTTTTATTTATTATAAAATATCTTTTTAATTATAAAATTTAATTAAAAAATTATATAAAATTATTTCTTTTATATTCTTGTTTTTCGGCAATCTTATTGCAACGAAAGATTCAAATCATTAAATCATCGAAATATGGTTCATATTAATTATCACTTGTGAGTAAAATATTTTTTATTAAATTTTTCAGCTTCGAAATTTTATTTTATTCGATTACTATACAACTATACGATATAAATGGAAGCTATACGTACAAAATAATATAAGAACTAGCACGAGCGTCGTGAGACCCGCAACGATATAGAACATAAGTCGCAATCCCTTTTCGATGTTGCAAATATCGTTGCTGTTGGGCACTAACATCGGTGGAAATAGGAAACCAATGGCTATACCCAGCTGCAACAGAAAGTCAAGGGATAAATGCCCGATAAGAAGTTGTTTTCGAATTCCAGGAAAAAGATTTTGAAAGAAATATTTGCTCTGTTCAATCTTTTCCGGTTGAAGTATACATAACAATGCTTATCTTGGAGACGTTCATCGTATACTCGTATTTATAACAAACAAAATTAATATCGCTCGTATTTTCATCATATTTTTACAAGTTTACTTATCTGTTATCAAAGCGGAACGTTTTCCTTTTCAACTGTTGAGAAACAAATCATATCTGTTTATGGGTTAATGAAATGTATTTCAAAAGAAAACGCCTCTTCTCTCAATGAAAATTATATTTGAAAAGAAACTATATTCATTTTTTCAATAATACGAAAGAAAATGTGAATTTTATATTTTTTAGTTAAATTGTAAAAATTTTAAGGGGAAAAATAAAAAAAAGGGATCCTTTCTCTTTTCTGAAAATTTGCACTTCTAGAGTTGGCGTGATTTAAAGTCCCACGATAAAGTGCTTCAAACTTCTTTCATCAAATCGATATAATTAAAGCGCGATAAAAATCGTCTTCTCCGATAAAACGCGAATACGATAGCTGATAAAATGATAGCGGTTGTCCACAGTCCGCACCTAGGATCAATTGAATCCGATATAGGGCGAGCCCCCTGCCCCCTGCCCCCTTCATCTCATCCGTCCGCCCCCGCATAGAAACTGCCGATCTGTCTGTCGTGGTAGCGAAATTAATCGTGGGTGTCCACTTGGACTCGGTTTCCCACCTAATCACAGTCGCAATTTAAATATCCCGAAGCACCCTTCGTCGATTAGCGAATACTCCAGACTGTCACTTCCGTTACTCCGTGCGAGAGTCCAATTCTCGTTTACCTACACGTGCAGCGACACGTGTCGCTGTAACAATTGAGTGCCTTCTCAATGTCGTTTTCGAAACAAAGTGGTAATGTTACGTTTAATGGAAAATAAGTCTAATATAATAATACGGACAGTTTACCTTATGAATGATAATTCTTACAATTGTTCAAACGATGATAATACAGGCCTGTGAAATTTTAGGTTTGGCTAGTTACAAAAAGTAGAGTAGGTGAATTTGATAAATTTTTTTGATGCTGAAAACGAATCTGACAGCAAAATTCCTCCAGCACGTCAGAAATTCGCAACACAATTAAATATGAGAATTGAACTTATTATATGTGTAGTAATAATCATGAACAATGCAAAAGTTTTTAAAAAAATTTTTAATGTTCCGTTAATGCATCGTTCTTTCCGATTGAAATTGTGTCAAATTAAATTGAATTACACTTCGTTGAATAAAAATGCATGCAGATATGCAATAAATTTGAAAGTTATTAATTTGGAACAAGAGAAATGTCAAGATATCCAATTATTTCACAACAATTATTTTGCAATCTGTATAGACGAGAGAAATAATTTGAATTCTTAATATCCATAACGCGCTGAGTAAATTTATTTATGTCATCATTGAATTACATCGATTATCTATTATCATTCACTCTTGATCCGTGCAATCAGAAGTAATTTTATTACGTCAATTAAAATGATGTTTCTTTTTGCTCTATAAAGTTAATACGTTGTAGATAGATAATGCATTACTCTTTACATTGTAATTCTTTCATTCTTCTTACGAAGATATTTGTACAAAGATAACGAAAGAAAAAGAGATAGAGAGAGAGATTTGTACAAAATTAATTTCTTATATTATTAAAAAAAATAGTATTTTCTTACATTATTAAAAAATAATAATAATTATTAATATAATTTTTTTAATTATTTTGATTTTTAAATTTTTAAATTTTAAAAATACATTTTTAATATAATTAAAGACACAAAAATAAAAGTAACGTTGTAACGAATATATAATAAAAAAAATTAATTAAAAAATATTACAAAATGTAAGTTATCAAATTTTCTCGAAACATCGAATTCAAGTTCCATTCTGAAGAACATATTTTAATGATACGTACATAAGATATTTACGTACCTGATTGCCGAAGACACCGATGCTACAGGCACTACTAACTTGATCAGGCCCAAACCAAACAGCGGCCAATCGGGCTGGAACTGACAGAATGAAGGTTTGACTTACTGCCACCAGAGTTTGGCCGAGGAACGTGATCCAGAAGCGATCGGTAGCTATGCTGAATACCTTTATCCAGGAACCGAGGGCGTTTCCGAGCGCCCCGAAGATCACGGCGTATCTGAGGCCCTAAAATCCCATCCCCATCCCCGGTAATTTAGATGTTAATAAGAGGGAATCTGCTGATACTATGCGAAATGAAATTTGATCGATCAGCATCAACGATTACTTGAAAAGCTATCCTGTTGATGTCCCGATTGTATCCAAACTCGTTTATTCGAATGTAAAATTGTTTATTCTAAATGGGCAGAAATGTCATCGTTCTCGATGATGAGATAAGGTGCTATACATATACTACAAGTTCTTAATAAATTATGCAAACTTTATGTTTCCTCATGATTCGCTATTGTATCTAGAAAAATCAGACGAATCAGGAAGTTCAATTTTTTGAAATTTATTGCCGCTTTTTAATAATTTAACAATCAACTAGATGAGAAGAAAAATGGCTTGTAAAGAAAACGATTGTACGATAATTTCTAAACATAGTATAAGTCTCCAATATATTCCGTTCTACTCTACCTAATAAAATTATTACTTACGAATTTATCGAGCAGATAACTGGCGGGAAATATCAATGGTATATATGTTATCATAAATATCATGCTTGTCATGTCTATCAGAAAACTCGAGACATTGTAATAGTGCATTACGATGTTCGCTATAACACTGTATTGGAGCCACTGCATGGAGTTGCTCGCGCTATACAATACGAAGAGAACAAGCATCAGCCATCTTTTCTTGTAAATTTTAATCTCCAGGTCCTGTAATTAATGACATCCATTCTCGATTTTTTATATAATATACTGATTATCTAAATATTGTTACGTAAAATTTAGCGGCGTTATGAGCCTTTTGTTATCGAAAGATCAAAAACTATGAAGATATAATCATAGCTCATTATGTATTATTATATATCAAAAACAATATTAAATTATGTATGTTGTATTTTTGTACATATTATTATAGATAAAAATGACATTGAAGCATTTTTCAGACAGTTTCATTTAAGGAAATGCAGGATTATATCAAATTGTCTTCTCTATAGAATCTCGTGATATTTTCTCGAAAAAATCCACTTCTTTTTTAAAAATATGATCTTGAAAGAGAAAATAACAGGAATTTAAAAGAAAAATTTTAATTGCATGTATCACATAAATTAAAACTTAATAATCTGAGATTTAAATAATTAATAGCTCACTGAAATAAAAGCTAAATATATCACGTCAACTCGAAGCGAAGACTCTTTTATTAATTTTCCTTTTTTCTTTGTTTGTTCTTAATTTTCTTTGTTCTAAATTGTCTTTGTTTGCTCAAATTTATTCGATAACAGAATTATTCACCTGTGTCGGTTGCATACCGCCTTCAATGGTCTTTATATAATCGCCAGAGGCTTTTCCCACTTTTTCAGATACTTGCGTTCGTTCCGACTCCATGATCAATATTAAATATATTAACGAGATTAAACCGAGTGATATTGTCAGAAGACGGATCAATACGGTTTTCCTCCTTTCATTAACACGGCTTTATTTCCTAAAATCCAAACAAGTATTGATTTTATTTCGTATATTTGGAGCGTATTTCTCAGGTATAAATACTTTGATAGAAGCACAAAATTAATATAATAAAAAAAATACAAATATTTAAATTTTTTAGAATATTTTTTGAATATTGAAAGCAAGATGTTGATATTTGATTTAATAGATAGTGTTTAAAAAAAATATTTCAATAATATATATTATTAAAATATTTTTTTTAAACACTATCTATTTTTATCGTGTTGCATAGAAACCGTAATTCCTATGAAAGAACCGGAAATTAATCCGCAATTCAGAGATTTCTGAGATATGATGTATAGATTACATGATAATGATAATTATCATGTAATCTATGCAGCAAAATTACTCATAAGCTGTTCCAACGTGTATTATACAATACATATACGCTAATACGAGTGTTTATATGTGTGCACGATCCTTGTACTACGTAACCGGAAGCTTCTACGTTTAAAAACGTAATTAAAATAGACTGATATGAATCAACGCTGAGCATTTTTTTTATTCCACAAAATATTCAAAATTGTATTTTCATTGTTTACCTTCTTCAACATTACGGATATCAGATTAAAATATTATGTTACGAATTTTAATCATCACTCTGTTGATATTGTAATCACAGATTGTCGACGAAAAATAACTATAATCTATGATATTTTGCGAAGTTTCGGAGATTATGATCGACTTTTAAAAGATAACTGTTATTAAAATCTTAACAGCAATGCACTTGTTCAAAATTAATATTTTTCTCAATAGAATAATTTAAATATTATTTAAATTGAAACATACATTAAATTGAAATAAATATATTTATACATAAAATATTTTGAGCCTCATAATTTTGCTTTTATTTATATATAATATTAATATATATCGTAAAATAAAATTGAATATTAATTTTATTAATAATTATTAAATAGTACAAAGAGGAAAATGAAAAGGCTCACATATATATAAATCGAAACGTAGAGACAAAAACGAATCAATTAAGATATATATATATATATATATATATATATATATATATATATATAATATATAGAATGTATGTGATGCAAGAGTCTTTCTCTATTAATGAATATTGATAAAATTTCTTCTTCACAACAATGAAATTTTTATGAAACTTGAAATTATTTGTCATTTTACATAAACAATATTATATATATATATAATGTACAAAAATTTCAATTTAAATTTAAAAAGTACTAAAATTTTAATTTGCGATCGATGAAATCATAACAATGAAATTTTTATGAAACTTGAAATTATTTGTCATTTTACATAAACAATATTATATATAATGTACAACAATTTCAATTTAAATTTAAAGAACACTAAAATTTTAATTTGCGATCGAGAGACTACGAAATATTCAAATATTTGAAATATACATAAACATACGTTCGTCAATCTCCTTATTATCACGAAATTAATCACGAATACTCGAAATATCTTTTTCGATTGCTTTTTCCAGACGAGTGACTCACGATCGCTCCTTCATCGCGCTATCCGTCACGAATGTCCCTTGGCGCGTCGTGTACTATGTTACATCGGTCTGTCACGTCTCATCGAGAGCATGTCGATAACGTGGATGACGGGAGAGCTACTCGCGCTGTCGCGGAACGTCAGACGTAAACTAAGTGTATCGGGAATTCCGCAAGGGCGTCCTTTCTACCGCTCGACCAAATGCCTCTCTCTCTCGTCGTCCCCTTCCCCAACATCGCGCGTAATCGCGCGTAAAAATATTTACACGCACACAGGTGCACAGGCCAATATCTATACGTGCAACAGCTACGCGCGCATCTATCAATGGCTGGATATCGTTGACGAATGCGCCGTCGCAATGCTAGTCATTCACGAGTGTCCGAGGAGAATTGCCATCCTCCAGGATGTTATTGTTCGTGGAAACTCGAAAGAAATAAGAAAAAATTGCACGAAATTGCCGTGACATTAAGTCAGGAGTTTGCAATTCAAGCAACCTGTTTCTCTGACAGCAATGCAATTTTGCTACTGAAGAGTGACGAATTTTAATTAAAAATCCGATTAAAGTAATTGAAGCTAACAAAGTATTTATCGATTACTTATGACCACGATTGTGAAGCAAGAGAATCGAGTTTAATAAACTTAGAATTTATCGGAAATGGTTTATACGTAAATATGTTTTTTTTATGATTAAGAATTTTAGATTAAAAAAAGAGATTTATTTTCGAAATAAATTGAACTTTGACTTTCTTATTCGTCATAAAGTGACTTTTGCATGATATGGACAGTTAATTTGCATTATAATTTCGCGCTAAAGAAAAGATTATTCGAAAGATTATTCGAAAGATTATTCAATGGATGCAACATACTGTTGTTTTATTCTTGATCGACTTAGCAAATAAATTCAAAAGAAATGTTTGTCATAATACTTTTCGATGTTTTTCATCACGCACGAAATTTTTATATTTATAACAATAAAAAAACTGCAACTAATTTTCGTCTAATTAGGCAGTTTATTCTTACGTGTATTTTAAATACACATGTAAAGACGAAATAGTATACGTTTATTTTATCAACGTTGTATGTAGAATGATAGTAACTCTGAATCATTGCTTCACTCAAAAATTTTCTCTATCTCGGAAAATTTTCGAAGAGAAATGTGAATTACGTAAATTTCCAATATCATGTTGTTATTTTCCGATAATTTAGTTTCTTTCCGATATATCATGGATTTTATATTTTATATTTTTCTCTTTAAACATACATCTATAATAATATAATATACATCTATAATAATATAAGATTTAATAATCATCATCGAATGCCGAATAACCTTTCCACAAGTTGCATTCAAATATTAATTCATTTAAATATAATTTAATTTAATTAATAGGTAATTAATGAGAATGTTTTGATGAAATTCACAACAATCATGTGCAAATAAATTATATCAATACCAAATTAATAAAATTAAATTTATCCAATACATTCCAAATCATTAATATAACAAAAAAATTAATAGACTACTATTTGTGTATTTGTTAAAAAACATTAAAAATTTCATATTGAACAAGTTAAAAATATTACGTACTAAGCTACCATGTTATCAGCAGCATGCAAACCGCACAAAGTAAGTTTTGCAATGCAAATGACATATAGAGAGTCAACACTTCGAGTTTCAAAATTAGAAAATGACGATTTTGTTTTATGATAATACATTAGAGCTCCTTTTTTATATAATATTACGTACAAAAAAATGTAATATTATATACCTAAAAAAAATATTTATATATATTTTCCTGCCATTTAAACCGATTTAATTTCGAGAATAACTTCTTTATAATGTATTTTATTTATATATTTCAATGTTATATTTCAATTTTAATAAATAATAACATATTATTAATATCATAGGACTCAACAATATAATTTGAATATTTAATATTAAAATATAATTTGAATATTTGTGATATATATATATGTGAAATTATACTTTCGTAATTGAAAGTTTTTCTTGTCAGACGATTCCAAAATCTACCAAGTAAAAACATCGGTGTAAGATTAATTTTTTCTATTTACATTATTAGACATTGAGAATTCATGTCAAACTATATCGATTTGAGAATTCTCGTCTATTGTCTTACCTGCCAAGAAATCGGTGTCAAAATATTGGATTCCTCTCGAAGACTTTGGATCTCGTTCATTAGAACCGAATTTTGCTTCATTTTCAATTTTAATTTATTGCAAACACACGAAAATTTTCTTGAAACGCAAGTTTAACAAAATTAAAACAAATGATTATAAACAAAGATGATCATTGACAGAAAGATCGTTAATGAAGTGCGATGATGCTAACTTTTGAACAGCCAAAACTGCTGATATTTCTCAACTTCTCAAATATCGGTCTCTTTTTAATCAGCAAAAAGTCGGCGAAAAGCTACGCGTTTATATCATGGCCGTTGAAAAAGAAAGAGAAAAAATCTTTTTAATTTGATGACATATTATGTAAAATTGAAACAGTAAAATTGAAGAAAAAAATCAGTAACGTTAAACACGAGATGTGAACGCAGACTGAGGTCTTCTAGCGATAACTAGACAAGTAATGAAGCCGATAATTGGGAAATATCATTCTACGCATGAATAAATACCACATGATTTACGATCACACTATAATGATAATTAATAGAATACTCATTCCATGTATGTTTAAAGAACAAATTTATTTGCCGAAATATATATTAAGCCAGTATAATAGACACGAATGTTAATGATGCAAGTTTCATCTTTTTCTATAAATTGTAAGGTATTTTTGGATATAAGGATATTTTGAATCTGATAATTTTTAAATGTAATAATTAATAATTAGAGCAATTTTCATTACGTGAAACATATTTATGTGTATGATATAGATTTTTTATTATACTTTTCCAATAAAAATATAATGTTTTTTTATCATACAAGGATTCATATAGATAATTATTTGATTAATTGAAGAGGCAGAATATATACATTAATTATTAATTTTCTAATTATTAATTGCTTTTGATATAAAGAAGAAAAATACATTAATATTGCATCATATTATATTATTCTGTGAAATACTTCAATCTTTTTTTAAATTATGTTTATTTTGAATAATTTATATTATATGTTAAGATATATATATTTAGATATATATATATTTAGATATTAACTAAAAAATTTATATTATACATAGATTCATTATTTAATTTCCAGAATGCGTAGAATTTTTGTTTTTTAATAAAATAATCAAAACTATTTTAAGCAAAATGAAAAATTGGGTGCCACAAATGTGGCAATTAAAGTATCTTACAACTATGACAAATTATAATTTCTCGCAGCAGCAGCGAAGCATCTGGTAGATAATCATCTCGAGATAATAGCGTACCACCTATCACGTGAACTCGTACCCTCTCATGCAGAAGAGCTGCTAATACGATAATGGGACATATGATATTTTCACATTATGACAGCATATGAAAAGCATCGTTCTACATTTTACAAGACTTCAATCGACAATACAAACACCGAACAAACATTGTAAAATAAAGTGACGTTATGTTGACAATGTTTAATATTAGCAAATGGACCTATTCATCACCTATTCATTTTTGCATCAGCAGTTTGCGACGTGATAATTACACTTTTTATCTTTGTCTTTAAACATCACTACTCACGCGTTTAAATAAAAGTGTTTAAAGAATCTAATTATAGAAACTAAGAGAATCATTTTTTTTATTATTATTTATATTTATAGTTATATATAAATTGAATTGAATATTCATCATTTGATAAACAAGAAAAAGAATTTAAAAATAAAATAATTCTAAAATAATTTCTCGGTAAAAGCAATGATCATCAAATCAAAGCAATTAATCGAGAGAGAAAGAAATATCTTTAAATATAAAAATATGAAAATTAAAAATATAAAAATATAAAAATATAAAAATATAAAAATTAAAAATGTAAAAATTACGATAATTTGATTAATTCCTTTGACAGATAGATTTTTGTAGACAAAGTGCCATTGGACTGTCTCATATATATGAATGTTTACCTTAAGATTAAAAAATTTAGATTTACTTAAAATGTAATGCAATTGAGATACGAAAACCTTCAACATGCTCAATACCGTGATAATTCAACCGCAACAAATGACTGGACCTTCAACATGCAAATGCAGTTTAATAATATGAATTGGACACGCATGCACTAATGTCATTTTTTGATATTAAATCGATAATAAAATACAAAAATTACAAGGTTCTGCTCTTTTTACGTGATATTTTACATTGTATTTTTTTTATACAAAAAAATCTGTATAAACGTGCGTTTCTGCAAATCGGCGATTGATGGATTAAACATTAATGAGGCACAAAATTACGCTATTTTGAGGCACTGTAAATGTGAAAGTCCAGGGCTCCCACAGGTGAAAACACGTCACTGTAATTCACGTGCTTCACGTATCACGATGAAGCAAATATTGCATGAACTGGCAAAGACGAGCTTTCCTAACTCGCGGAAAAATTGTCTGCAAGACTGCAGAATCGAGACTAGTCGGATCTTATCGTTAACACCGGACGGATACACGCAAGACAAGTGTATGTGGGTGTAATTCTCGGGAGATATTATTATTCGTGCGGGAAAGAGAACGATTGTGCTTTCTTGTCTCTAAAATTTATGAACGTTTGCTCTCTTTCTATCTTCTTCCACGAGGGAGATAAATGTGTGAGGAAAAGATCCCGTGCAGAAAAAGTGACAGTGAATAGAGAGAAGTGAAGTACATTTTAGCGATAGAAAAGTAAAATTCATATTGCGTATTTTTCAAGATTTGTGATGAAAGTTGAAAAAGTTTCTCATAAATTTGTGAATTTACAAAATTCTTCTTCACTTCAAAGCTGAATTAGAAATGCTAAGTGATTAATATTACATAATTAATTAAAGTTGATTATTGTTACACAATTGATTAAAGTACTAATTAGTGTTACATAATTTCAAAGAACTGATTTAACTCTAAGTAACAAACAAATAATAAGCTTCTTGCATCTGTATCTTTCATTTTATCTGATACGAAATTATACATTGAATATCATAAAGAGAATATGATTAATAATCGACATAACATTTTACTTCACTCTGCGATTTTTAAAGTGCAATGAATGTTGTATACATAAAAATTTTAAATAGAATATAAATTATATATAATAATATTGAGAAATTTGGAATTATGTAACACATTTAATTTTTATTTAAAAATTTTTCAAATATTTTAATTTTATGAAATTTTTTTAGTTTCCTGTATTATTGAATTCGGCCAATATCGGAAAAGATATGTACAATAAGAATGCTATTATTTCTCTCTTTCAAAGGTCACGAAAAATCGATGGGAATTAAATATACGACAGATGGCATTCCGCTCTTTAAAAATAGATCTGTACATTTAATTATCAAGAAGAAAGATTGTCACGTTATTTCTAGCTTGCAATACTATTTGCTTATGTTCTGATTTTTACCATTAAAAAAAGTTTCGCGCATTCCAGTAATGCACAAATTCTCTAAAATATACATGATTTGAAAATTCAATTCCACAAAATTTACTTTTTTGTTGTAATTTTTGCTGAATTACTATAAAAAAATTCTAAAGTATAAACTGCATAAGGTACGAAAAATAATATATATTAACGAAACATTTAAAAATCTTACATTAAATTATAAAAATATAAATATATAATAAAATAATATTTCATACAAATATGATAACTTAAGAATTATTATATAAGAAAATAAAAATAAAAATATCTACTTTGGCTTAATTCTAAATATATTAAATTAAAATTAAATTAAATTAAATTAAAAATTGAAATCATATGAAACTAAATACAACTGAATATATAGAAAGTAATCGTTTAACATTTGATAAAAATAAACTTTAAAGGAATAAATTATAAAGATGCCATATTTTCAACAAACACTTGCGTATAATAAATTACAGTTCAAAGATGACAACATCTTTCGGAGCACGTCCTTGTTCACCTGGCAATGAGCAATGATGATGCTAATCGCTTCGAAATGTTTCTGCACACTTCGCGCTACGTCGAATGTTATCGATTATATCGATATATGTATGCCGCTTACGTCCATAAGATATCGTGAAAAACGCAACAGTCGATCAAAGTGCGTACTTCGAATCACATCTCAGAAATATCTGCTCGCTTTTAAAAAGAAAAGTATTGACATAAGACATTTATCTTTGCATCTTCGAAGAAAAAACGTTCTTTCATTTACGTTTTCGTTGAATTATATTGAAATATATTGAATTAGGTTTTCGAGTTTGCTAAACTTCTAGTTTTCAAAGGGAAAAAAAAACATGATCGTCTCGCCCAGTATTGGTTTATTGATGGTTGGAGTGGCTTCTGGTGTTTTTCTTTTCATTGGCCTCCGAGTAAAGTAAGTAATATATTTTAAAGATTATCAATTGATGTTGTTTTTAAGATATTGATTCTTTAGATTAAAAAGTTGAAAGAACTTGTTTATGCCAAAGTTCTCATTTTTTTGAATTTTTATTCCTTCAGGACTACTGCATTTTTTTAAATTGTAGATACTTGGAATAAATTCTTGAGTTATGACGAAAGAATCTGCAAATTTCTAAACTTTAAAAACTTTAAAAACTTTAAAATTTTTTCAACGTGTCTTAATATTAGATCTATAATTTTTAATTATTTTTAAAAGTTTGTACAAAAAAATTTCAATTTTTTTTTCTTCGAAAATTCTAAAATTTTTTCGAATCTAGATAGTTTTTCTAAAGTAAAGTATGATGGACATTTATTTTTCTTCTAATTTTTTCATTTGTTTTTTCTTTTGTTATATTAAATTTTTTTTTATTTTTTTTTTAAATAAAAACTGTATCCAGGAATTCCAAGATTATCAACGATAGATGGATTTACGCTTATCGCACACGTATCTATCGTATTAATGTCTAAGCTTTTTTTATGACTCTTCAAAAGAAAGCCTGTATTGTCTCACGATAACCTTAAGCGCTATTGGTTCTAACATCGTAAACATCACTAGAAAAACTCGATTACATTCTAACTAATTTACAATTGTTTTTTACATTTAACTTTTTTGTATTTAAAATTAAACAAATGTCATCATATTCTCTTATATTGAAAAAAGGAAGAATAAATCTTCACATATTTTTTATTTTATCAGACGCAGAGTTTTATTAATTGCATATCGATAAAGTTATCTATCGATGTTGGACTATTATATAATATTTTTTGAAACCATTTGATTAGTGATGCAGCAAATTGGAATAGTTTATTTTGCATTAGAATAAAAAACGCTTGGTTTATTAATTCAAAGCATAAATCGATACCGAAACAAATATCTGCGGTATTATAAGATGACAAGAAAGCATTGTGTTGTCCACTGTTGCCCCAGATTAAAAATTAATTTCATCTCCAGCATATCACTACTAATAATAGAAGTAGTACTGTAAAATGACGTAGACTTTCTTCTATTGTTAGATTCTCGATATTTTCTTATATTTGGATTATGTCTGAAAAGGACATATGCTATTTTTTTATGAGTTTTTTTATTATATTTAAAAATGTACACGTGTACTCGACTGAAATAAAGTGTGTTCTTATAGAACAAGTTATTTCTACTACTATATTACTGTAGACAAAATAAGATTAATCTCTTTCTCTAAATTATCGTTGTAAAAATAATAAAGATCTGAATATTTAAAATTATTAGACGCAACTGCAATCTATTATAATTTTTATTTAATATTTGATCAAAAGTCATATAATATGAATCCTTAACAAATTATTATTAATAAAATTTATTAATTTTAAGATCGAAAATTATATATATATATATAATTATAAATAATATATATATATATATATATATAATTTTAATATAATTTTATAATACAATATATATATATATATATATATATATATATATACAGTAAGTCTATCTAGTATTATATATATATATATATATATATATATATATATATATATATATACAGTAAGTCATCCACCCCAATAACTTTCTTATTTTTGATTGTAGAATTAAATGTTTCGAAAAGTTGTTTGACTTGAAGGGGAACATAAGATGATGCTATTGGTTTGACCTTAGATAATTGTTGAAAATGTAAAATTGTTTGAAACATGAAGATCACCTTTAATTTTTTAAATAAAACCCCCTATTTCTTATTGATTATTTTTATAATTTATTTCGAGAGCTCTTCAAAACACTATAATAAAGTATTTTTTCATTGAGTATTTTCCGAGTTATAAATAATTTCTTAATTTTACATAAACCATAAAATAAAAATTCTAATAAAATATTCATTTTTTAATTATCTTACCTTAATACTTTTAGGTACAAAATAATAAGAGCAATCAATATGTGTAAAGAAAATAATTATAATGTAATAATTATTTCTAAGAAAAAATATATAATTTGCAATTAACAATTACATATTTTTTTTTAAACTTTTATCTAAAACATTTGTTTCTACAATCAAAAATAAGAAAATTATATATAATTTAATAATTTTCGAAAAATAATCACACCTTTTACTTTGCTTACAAACATCATTTATTATGCAATATTTCAAATAATCTATTTCCAATTCGCGTTTCTTTATCTGAATCAGTGATTTATCTTTCTTATATACATTTTACCTGGATTGTTACCTATTTTCGTCTTATCTTATCTAACCGCGTGTACATACTATCGGCGCACTTTTTCTTGGCATTACGCGACCGCGACGGAGAGAATGTTGCGTGTAAATAGCCAGCCGGGGATATCGCGATCTCATCAGACGAGCCCGTTTAGGTTCGCGCGACGTTACCGGAAGCGCCTACGACGCGGTGATGTATCGACGACGTATCGATGACGTATCGATATGTGTGAACGAGAAAAAGAACGGAGACGAAGAAGAGAAACAGAGAGAGAGGGAAGGAAAAGAAGCATTATTAATTAAGGATGCACGTGGTGGTCCGGGGCGTGGAACACGTCAACGGCGAAACGTTAGCATTACACAATGACCGACCGGCGTGGCACGTATCGAACGAACAATGGATGCAACGGCGCGTAGGGGAACCGGAAGCGCCGTATAGGAACCGAACACTCGGGGATCCGTGCGCACCAATCTGACGCTCTCTTCCATTGTCGAGATACTCGTTGTCGCGGATAGTCGGTCATTCTCGGTGTAAAACACTAACTGTGAATCCTCCTCGAGTGAGCTCCGAAAGGTGCGAAGATGTTAACCCTTTAGTTCTCCACTTGATCAATGCAGCAGTTGATTGGATTCTCCACTACGATATAATCAAGAGACGAAGTTTCGATTTTACGATGCTTAGAATTGATTTTCTATCAAATTAGAGATAGGATGATCGATTGTAATTCGACGATTAATCGGATCTTCTGGTTCACATCATTCGACATCGATGAGATCGATAAAGTTCCCATTCGACTCTACGTGAAACTAAGCTTCTGCGAAGTTAGAAATCCGTTTTGTTATCTGCTTAAAGAGCAGTAAAGTAAAGGAACCGACAAACTTGATGCTACGTGCGTTATTCGTCGTTTCTGCAACAACTAAGACCGATGAAACTTCTCAACGTTGGAAATTAATTTTCTGTAAATTGCGAATTATTGTCTATTATAAGAGCAATAAAGAACAACATCCTCGAATATAAGAATCACACAATTAAAGATAATACCACTGTATGAAACCTCGGAATTTTTCATGTCACTTCGAATAAAGAAAGATAAATTTTCGATTGCAAGTCGCAACCGAAATAACGCTAACAAAATAAAGTAAAATATAGAAAGAAATATAGAAAGTGTACTATAATAGAAAACTTGTACATTTTTGACGAGCAATAAAGCCGGAGAAACAGCGACGATAAACAGAATAGTTCATCGTCCGTTACTTTTACTCGATGACAATAGCGCGAAACATTCGCGTTGATGTTCATTGTGAGATCGATTTGAAGCTAAACGACAGATGAAACATTTCTTTCTAAGGATCCTTTGCGGGAGAAAGCGAGAGAAACGGTAAGTGAGAACAGTGACTAGGTCTCAATAATTATAGTGTGTCTGCAAAATTATATTAATGAAGTGTTAAGTTTTTATTCGTTATATACTAAATATTTAATAGAAATAGATATACTAGATATAATATACTAGATATTTAATAGAAATAGAAGACATACACTAATACCAGATAATAGAATACATATACTAGATAATAGATATAAACGAAAGAAATTCTTACGAAAGATCAAATTCATGAATAAATTACTATTTCTCATTATATTCTACATTCACTGTACATTTTTAGGCAAGACATTTTTCGAAAAAAAAAAAAACCAATAAGATGAAATTAAAAATATTAAAAATCAACTAAGAAATCTTAAAATGCAATTTCAAAATTATTTCATGTTTCCATTTTTATTTTAGATTTATTTCATTTTTATTTCTTATAAATTGATATATCACAAGATTAATATATCAATTGTAACATATTTTATCTGCTTTATTAAAAACTAGTAAGAGATTTAATCAAAAAATGATTTACAAATTCATAACAAAAATTACATATATTTCTTTACGATTTTCTTTACGTAATTCACATCTCATTTAACGAGAAAAGTGGGAGTGTTCTCTTCTGATTTTGATGAGTTTTGAATATGTTCTAGTTTAAGTTAAAATAAAAGACATTTTTAATAAGATAAAATTTTAAAATTTACATTATAGCAAAACTTAAAAAATATATAACGCCAAATTCAACCATATATGATTTCCTTTTTCGAAAACGCATTTTTTAAATTATGATTCTATCATATATTATTGAATTTAGCGTTATAAAATTTTCAAAAATTAGAAGAATGAGAGAGATTTCGAAAAACATTAACACATTTTTGAAAAATCTGATTGCATTGTTACAAAGTATTAAAAACTATAAAATTTTTATTTAAAACCTTTCTTATTGTTTCAATGATATTCACTCAGAAATATAAAAATCGATGTCTTTCAAGGAGATATTTTATATCCTTGGTCATATGAATACAAATAAAAAAATATGTATTTCTTATTTTGATCTAAACTACAACATATGCAAAGTTCATCAAAATCGGCGGAGGGGAATAGTTCTCAACATTTCCCTTGTAAGATGTTTCATAGAAATATTCTTGTCTTATCCCTAAAAATTTTAGAGTATTATGTACATAAAAAATCAATTATATATATATATATATATATATATAATATATAATATTATAATATTATATTATATTTATATAATAATAATTTATTTTTATAATAATAATTATAATAATAATTAATATAATATTTATATAATATATATAATATATAATATTATATATATATATATATATATATATATATATATATATACACAC